TATTTGTTTGTTTGTTTTAGTCTAAATTTAGTTAACTATAATAACCCTGATATATGAAATGTGCTATAGAAATAAACTTGCCTTGCTTTTTGTGGAACACAAAAGTAATTTTGAGGAATTGTACTGGCTGCTCTTTTCCATACAATTAAAGCACAATGAACATTTTCCTGAAGCTTTCGAGCATCAGATGGTTGCAAAAGCTCTGTAAAATAATCAAAAAGTGGTCCATAAAATTTGTGTGCTATGCTTAAGTGTTTGTGAAGCTTGAAATCTTAAGTCCCCAATCGCGAGATAAAAACAACCAGTATATTATTCAGAATTACTTCTACTGTGTTTCACGAAAGAAAGTAATACAAGTAATGACAGAATTTTGAGTATAACTAATACTTTAAAACATTGTAGTATGGAGCAAGTATATTGTATGTAGTGCACTTACATTTTTCAAAACACACAGAAAGGAGACATCATCCAGATCATTGAGAAGCCACCAGTAGGCACCTGGACTGGTAAACTCAATAACAAAGTGGGCTCCTTTAAATTCATCTACGTCACAATACTACCAGAGGAGGACACACCACCAAAGAGGAAGCGATGTCAAGGACGCAAGAACAAACCCAAACCGCAAACCCTGGAGGAAGTTCTGGAGAGAATAGGCCTAACTGTAAGCCTAAAGTTACTTTTTCTTAAAGGGTTAGTTCACCCAAAAATGAAAATTAGCCCATAAATTACTCACCCTCAAGTCATCCTAGGTGTATATGACTTTCTTCTTTCAGACAAATCCAGTCGGAGTTATATTAAAAATTGTCTTTGATCTTTCAAGCTGTTTCATGGCACTCAGCATGCGTTGCATGCATCAGTCCAAAAGAAGTTAAATAAAAAGCGCCCATCCATAAAAATGTCTCACACGGCTCCCGGGGGTGAACAAAGGCCTTCTGTAGCGAATCGATGCATTTTTTTGTAAGAAAAATGCCCATATTCAAAACTTAATAATCACTTTAATGTCGCTTGCTCCAACAGTTGTACACAGAAGCAGCTCCGGGCTGATGACGTATGAGTTCAGCGTTGCGCATGCGCCGGTGAGTCTCGTGAAAACCAACATTTGTTAACAGGAGCTAAAAAAGAAGCAAAGTTTCCTTACTTTAGCAAAGGAAAACCAGTCCTCCTCTTGGCTAATATCGAAATCCTCCGACATTCTTCTTTACAAATCTCGTTTTGTACTTCTAATTAGTGACCGTTGTTTTGTTTTGATCTCTCCCCTGCGCTTCCGCGTTCGTCACTTCTGAGCGGCGCATGCTCAAAGCCGACCTTCATACGTCATCCGCCCGGAACTGCTTCCGTGTACAACAGTGAGCGCAAGCTACATTAAAGTGATTATTACGTTTTGAATAAGGATATTTTTCTTACAAAAACGCATCGATTCGCTACAGAAGGCCTTTGTTCACCCCCGGGAGCCATGTGTAAGGGAAACAGTGATAATTTAGCTCAAAGGGAATCATTTAAGATTTTAAAGGGAACTCCACCAATAATATGTAAGGGAATTTGGACAGAATCACTGTTTACAGCTGATCACTGAGACGGCCAGCGATTCAGTGAACGAGCCGTATGCCATCAATTCTGCAATGGATATTTATATCCAAAATATAGTGAGAAAACGATTAATTAGCACAGTAACAAGATCGGCAGTTTAAGACATTAACTTGTGAGCACAAAACACAAGATACTTCTCTTTTCAATATAAATAAGGCTTTATTGGATAAATCTAAGACATATTAACTAATCTAACACATGAACACACGCATTCACACAAGTTGCAGAAAGAGAGAAAGTGAGGAAATAATTAGTTTAAGAGAATGAAAATGTGAAATCCCAAGTTTACAGCAATATGTGCAATTGCATAGATCTGAACAACCATCAATCACTTAATTAACCCTCGCATTGAGTCCCTCAATGAGGTTAAAATTTATATTAAATGCACCAGTTCAGCTAGGATCTGGAGGTACTTGCGTTCCTGTGTGCGGGGTTCCCTTCCTTGTCTGGTTGCCGAAAGGGGTTTCCCACTTTTCTGATTGGCTGGAGGTTCAGTCTTGGGAAGCCAGTGATTGGGCGTTGGCTGGCGACGCGGAGCTGTGGTCTGCAGTTGAAGTTTTAGACGGCACTCTTTCGGAGATGCGGCGTTAGGCAAACTTAACTCGAAACACGAAACTCTCAACGGAAAATTGAATAAACTAAAGAAATAGAAATAGAAGTAAAGTTTGACGAGACCAGGTGGCGTTTCTCCTCATGGTTTTGGAGGAGATGGCGTGTAAGCCAGAGCACGCTCAAAACTAAAGAATCATGATTAAAAAAAACAAGGCTCGAAAAGGCAAGAAGGAAGAGAAAGAAGAAGGTGATGTCCTGAGTATTTAAACCAGGCTGTTTAACACACCCCAAATCATGTTTTGACCAAATCTGAGATTGTCTGATTCGGTCTTATATCCTACACGTGTGAGACATTTTTTATGGATGGGCGCTTTTTATTTAACTTCTTTTGGACTGATGCATGCAACACATGCTGAGTGCCATGAAACAGCTTGAAAGATCAAAAGCAATTTTTTATATAACTCTGACTGGATTCATCTAAAAGAAGAAAGTCATATACACCTAGGATGACTTGAGGGTGAGTAATTTATGGACTAATTTTCATTTTTGGGTGAACTAACCCTTTAAATATGTGGGCCATTACATCATAGTACAATAGGATCTGCTCTGAATGACTGGATTGTGTGTCCAGGAGCTGGGATCTCTCCTGTCCATGCATGGCTTCCAGAGTTTGGAGGATTTCAGCGGCCTGAAGGAGTCCCACCTGAACGAACTGAACATTACAGACCCTGAGCAATGTGTGAAGATACTGAAAGCAGCAGAATTGCTTCATGACTGTAAGTCCATCAAAGAGCCATTGAGTCTAGACTGTTATCCTAATTGTGTTCATTGGTACATATTTATAATTTGCAGTCTGTTTAATGTACTAACATCACTTCTGCCCTCCAGCTGAGGATGAATCCGATGTAGAGGAGCAAAAGACTGAAATGCCACGGGACTCGGGTTGTTACGAGAGCACAGAGAACCTGGCAAACGGATGTGAGGAGCCCCAGCTGGAATCCCAACCGGAGCCAGAGACTGATCCGGACACAGAAACAAAGCTCAATGCGATTCAGGAACAACTGGAGGAGATGAAGGTGGAGGAGAGTCCTGAGAGCCAAACAGAGTGAAGCCACCAGAATGTTCTTTTGATCCTGCTTCTTTGAAACTCAGTCAAGCTGGATTAAATTCTATGAAAAAACATTTCATATGCACAGCCCATACAGAAGCCAATAGACTTAGAAGATGGCTTAAAGATCTTGAAGCTACCATCATCTATTTGCTCTGCTATTATGGTTAAGAAAGACCTGGGCTTCAAAATCTAACTGAAACAAAGTTGTAGGATTTTGAAAAACAGGCTGCATAAAGTGATATTCCATGGATTAAACCTACAGCTATGTTTTTACATCATAAAAGAAGAAGAATGCTGGAATCCCACATATTGATTTTGCTCACAAGGATAAATATGCATGACCTAACTGTGATTTTCTAATATCTGAGAAGTTTCATCATCACCATCATCATACCTTTAACTATGAAGTAGCATTTTATATACTACTGTTCTACAGTTTCTGTCGGAATGAATGTACAGAGTTACACAACTGGTGCACTCAAAAATATATTTTTGTCAGGCATGAAAGAGGAAAAGCACATTGTTCAGTTTTATTCTTTTGCTTCTATAGTCAACTATTTTGGTTCCGGTTTATGGTAATATTTGTTATAATGTTGTTTTAGTTTTCAAAGCCATTGTTGTTTTTTATACTTGTATTCCGTTTCAGCCTTCCATTTGTCGTTTATATTGTTGTCTGTACTTTCACTGCTTTTTTACTAGTTTTGTTTGTTTTAAGAAAAAAAAACAATTTTGAAACAACATAACAGAAATTGTAATAATACCATATAATTTAATGACCATACATATACACACAAATTCATAAAGTAGAAAGTGAAGAGTATGAGGATATATACATGATCACAGTGTTATTACCAAGCAAAGTGAACAACTCAATCTGTGATGACGAATAATGTGTACGTTATGCATCATATCCAAATATCTAGCGCAGACCAGCTTTTGCTAATAATCCAAACTTACACATTACACTGACTTTTTGATTTTGTTGCGCCTCATTTAATAAATAAGTGTGACAGAAATTTCATGATTAAAAAAAATGGGACTCATTTTTCAGCACATTGCCATATACTCAGTAATACCATCAGCCTAGCAAATTAATATTCACATCTTCCATTCACAGTGTAATCAATCATCACAATAGTTCACACCATAGTACTCACAAAAATCCAATTTGCTATAAATTAAACGTGATCTGATAGAAGCACATTCCGTTGGTATTTGAAGGACTACATTTCCTGCAATAATGGACTTTTACCCTCAACACATTCTTCAACATCAGTAAAGGAACTTACAATCAAACTAAATGAATCTCACAAACATTCCATCTTATATATTTCAAACTGCTGTAAGATGGCACTGAACTGGCAACATAAAAAAATATATAAAGCTTGCCGCTTCAAATGAATGAGACAAAATTCTTAATTCACTTCTAAACTTTCCACGCAGCAATACGGTCCATGTTTCAGAGAAGTAAACAAATGTGGAGCTGGCTATGCGAATTCATGTAAAAATATAGGAGTCCCTGATGTGTGTAGATCTGTCCATAAAGTGTTCCCTTACAAGTGGCCATCAATATACTACAGTGAAATTAGTAAAGGTGACTACAATACGCATTTGCTTATAAACTGGGGCAAGCTTTGCTACCTTAAACACTGTGAAAAGAATGTGTGGAAAAAAGAAAAACAAACAATTTAAAGATTAGGATTGGACTTTTCCATGCCTAGACTCTGGAAAGTTCATTTTCAGATGTAAACCACACTTTATCTTTCATTTACTCTGTGCACAAACAAGCATTTAGGCCTTGAGTAGTAATATCCAACTCTTAGCGGAAAAGGAAAAAGGGAAGGTTGCTCATATGTCAGGTGGATGTGGAAAGACCTCACTAAATAAGACAATATGGAGGGAATGCAGTAACTTCAAGATCAAAATAATATTAATAAATCAGTGTTTTCACTTCTTAGGGAATTTGCAGCGTCTCAGTCATTTTTACATGTACATTTACTCCATGGCTTTTTTGCGTTCTGATAGATCGATAGCATTGTAAAAAAAAAAAAAAATGACAATGATTAACTTGCATATAGAGATGTGAGTAGCATTAGGGCATTATGGAGTCCTCTATAGATGTAATGGTAGAGCATAGATAAGGCACTCTTGCTGATGCAGATCAGCCTGTACTCACTGACACACACACAGCTTACAGCCGCTGCTTTCTACCATCAATGCTGATTGTAAAATCAAGTCTGAGCTTAACTTTCTGTTTTGACACGGAGTTGAATCACATTTATAACTGACTGACTTACTAAGCTGATCCAAAATGCCCCATCATCAGAATAAAGCAGTTGTGTTGGGCCTAAATGTCAGTTTATGGCTAAAGCACTTTCCTTATCACACTTTGAAAACCAAGTCGTCTAATCCACAGGGCATTGTGCACAACTACTATAGAAGCTTGTAATGGGTTTTACAGGGCACACAAACGGTTAGGAATAATGGAGGCGGGCTATACAGAAACGGGTAATGACACTGAAAAATCAACCGAACATTTCACTAGCTCTTTCGAGGGAAATAATGTCCTCATTGCGCTTCAGGGTAGCCCATTCTCATCTCATTCAGTCTATGGCTGCCCATTTCCCTCATTGTGAGATTCATCATGCTGTGATTCAGAGAGGAGAGTCTCAAAACCTCCAGAACTTGTCTTGAGTGCTAGTGCAGGATCCGGCCAGAGGGGGTCCAGTACTGCGAAAGAGTATCAGAGAACATAGGCCACTGCTCTAAACGAATCACAAGTTCTTCTGTGTGTGTTCCTTTTTGTGAGCACATTCAGAGGGTTGAGAGAAGTCTGGAGACTAGTGGGACGACTCTTTGATGACTGCAGGGGCGACAGCATTGGGGGATGTTGGCGAGGGGGGTTTCTCTTCTTTAGGGGAGCTGGTGCTCTTCTGGGTGCCTGAACCAATGCCGGGTTTGGCTTCATCAGGGGTGTGTTCATTGGGAATCAGCGGAGCTGAGGATTTCTGCAGGAAGTGCAAACACACCATGAGCAATCAAGGAGTGTTATTCACTTGTATGTGAATGTGTGAGTGCTGTCATTCCTAACCAGAGGTATGTGTATCCAGGGGGTACTTAAGCAGGGTTCAGAGGGAACTGAAACGATTTCAATTTTGTTTTGTTTAATAAAAATCATAATAAGACGACTCAAGCTTGATAAGAGAGAGAGAAGGATAATAATAATTATGATTAATGATAATGCAAAATTATCTTCAGTGCGACAGTGGTTGAAAGGAAAAAAGGGAGTTAAAATATTTCTGTGGGAGAACGGAAGACAAAAAGTTGCGAAATTCTTATCTAGTAACTAATGGAGAATTTAAAACATCTAAAGCAATTTCACCTTCGACATTGATTGTTTGACAATGAATATTTTATACAGATTGCACCGAATTTCTAGCCAATTAAATATTATATTTATCAATATATATATATATATATATATATATATATGATATTAAACAGCGCCTGAAAATAGGCTAACTTCCGTCAACATAACCAATGTAACCACCTGCTTGCACAGGGAGCTGCTGGGGACTATTTTCAGGCACTGCGTAATATCATTGCGCCTGCTGCACCCATTAATATTTTATTACATACATACAAATTTAAAATGAAATTCGATTTGCTGTATAACTTAATATAATTTAAAAAGATTATTTTTAGAATTTAATTATGATCATTAGTACTACTAACAAAAATAAAATATTAAACATCAAAAACTGCTACTACAGTAAAAAAAATTACATTTTTTTGAGTGAAATAAGTAAAATAGAAGTATAAAAAGAAATGTATTTTACAGTACAATTGTAAAATAAAATTTGCATATATATATATATATATATATACACACACACACACAGTGGGGCAAAAAAGTATTTAGTCAGCCACCAATTGTGCAAGTTCTCCCACTTAAAAAGATGAGAGAGGCCTGTAATTTTCATCATAGGTATACCTCAACTATGAGAGACAAAATGAGAAAAAAAATCCAGAAAATCACATTGTAGGATTTTTAAAGAATTAATTGGTAAATTCCTCGGTAAAATAAGTATTTGGTCACCTACAAACAAGCAAGATTTCAGGCTCTCACAGACCTGTAACTTCTTCTTTAAGAGGCTCCTCTGTCCTCCACTCATTACCTGTATTAATGGCATCTGTTTGAACTCATTATCAGTATAAAAGACACCTGTCCACAACCTCAAACAGTCACACTCCAAACTCCACCATGGCCAAGACCAAAGAGCTGTCAAAGAACACCAGAAACAAAATTGTAGACCTGCACCAGGCTGGGAAGACTGAATCTACAATAGGTAAGCAGCTTGGTGTGAAGAAATCAACTGTGGGAGAAATTATTAGAAAATGGAAGACATACAAGACCACTAATAATCTCCCTCGATCTGGGGCTCTACGCAAGATCTCACCCCGTGGGGTCAAAATGATCACAAGAACTGTGAGCAAAAATCCCAGAACCACACGGAGGGACCTAGTGAATGACCTGCAGAGAGCTGGGACCAAAGTAACAAAGGCTACCATCAGTAACACACTGCACCGCCAGGGACTCAAATCCTGCAGTGACAGACGTGTCCCCCTGCTTAAGCCAGTACATGTCCAGGCCCGTCTGAAGTTTGCTAGAGAGCATTTGGATGATCCAGAAGAGGATTGGGAGAATGTCATATGGTCAGATGAAACCAAAATAGAACTTTTTGGTAAAAACTCAACTTGTCGTGTTTGGAGGAGAAAGAATGCTGAGTTGTATCCAAATAACACCATACCTACTGTGAATCAGGGGGGTGGAAACATCATGCTTTGGGGCTGTTTTTCTGCAAAGGGACCAGGACGACTGATCCGTGTAAACGAAAGAATGAATGGGGCCATGTATCGTGAGATTTTGAGTGAAAACCTCCTTCCATCAGCAAGGGCATTGAAGATGAAACGTGGCTGGGTCTTTCAGCATGACAATGATCCCAAACACACCGCCCGGGCAACGAAGGAGTGGCTTCGTAAGAAGCATTTCAAGGTCCTGGAGTGGCCTAGCCAGTCTCCAGATCTCAACCCCATAGAAAATCTTTGGAGGGAGTTGAAAATCCGTGTTGCCCAGCAACAGCCCCAAAACATTACTGCTCTAGAGGAGATCTGCATGGAGGAATGGGCCAAAATACCAGCAACAGTGTGTGAAAACCTTGTGAAGACTTACAGAAAACGTTTGACCTCTGTCATTGCCAACAAAGGGTATATAACAAAGTATTGAGATGAAATTTTGTTATTGACCAAATACTTATTTTCCACCATAATTTGCAAATAAATTCTTTAAAAATCCTACAATGTGATTTTCTGGATTTTTTTTCTCATTTTGTCTCTCATAGTTGAGGTATACCTATGATGAAAATTACAGGCCTCTCTCATCTTTTTAAGTGGGAGAACTTGCACAATTGGTGGCTGACTAAATACTTTTTTCCCCCACTGTGTGTATAATATATATATATAAAACAAATAATATATAAATATCCAAGATCCTTTATATTGTACATGCAGTTCTATACAGAATAAGCACTATGACTATCTGCCCTATGAAAGCCAAATCTAGCTAAAGCCACTTAATGTATTAATTTACTCCACATGGTTCTTTTTCCTGGCCTTCTAACCCTCCCAGCTCTTAGAGTAATTGATTTAGGATCTTTCTTGCAGACTCACTACTCAATGCACAGCAAGGCAGCCAGCAACATTTCAGTCAAATGTACACTCACTTGTTCCCTCAAACTCTCATTAAAAAAAAAAAAAAAGCCATCTTACTGTGGTTTGTGAAACAGGGTTGCTGCTCTGATGGGTGGAAGCAGCAGACGCATCAGAGGGGGTGGGGCTAGACAAGTCTTCCAGCATCACCCCTCTTCTGTCCAACACACTAGAAAGAGAGAGAAAGACAGTTATATAATCCTGTGGTCAGGTGTGGCATTTTCCTGACTTGCCTATAAAAAATATGCAAACAAATGCTGGGGTTTACTGATAAAAGTGAAGGTTTCCATATTTTGTAGTCTAATGCAATGCCATTTAAACAACTTTTTGGGGCCAATGTATACAAGCAAAACTACAGTAATATTCCTACCTAGGGTAAGTAGGGCTGCACAGAACCTCACAGCAGTTCTTGATGATGCTCTTATGACTGTATGGGTTCTGCACACGGTTCTTTCCAGACCACGAGCCTTTGATCTGTACAGTAGAGATGAAGGACTTAGAACTTTGAAAATAAAGCCAGCATAATGTCATAACTGCCACTGACCGTTACAATCTGATTCATCCTCCAACTTTCTACTGACTCTTCAATGCACTCTGATGTTTTAGGTTATAATGAGTCTGTACAAATGGGAGCTTGATAAAAAAGAATCTTTTATTTGTTATCCTTTATTTAAATGTGCTTTTTCAGTTCTAGCCATTCCATCCCTATGGATTTCATTTGATCTAGTCAAGCACTTCAATGGTCCTCATTTTAAAAAGACATGCCTTTACGGTTTCATCTGCTTCTAGATAGAAATGTATGCATGCATCTCAGGCAAATCTTGGGGGTGAAAATCATCTAAAGTTTCTAAGTTTCATGTGTGGTATTCCACTCAAAAATGTTACACCAGCTTTGGGTTTCAGTAAAAAGTTTAGTTGTATCAGAATTTGACTGGCAGCTATGACCGTGTCTGCAGGTATTGATAAATCTATTATAAGCAGAATCCAATTTATGCTAAATCAAAGGAGAACAACCATCGTGTCACACCATATTACTTGCAGCAACTACATCCTTCCCTCTCGCTTCCTTCCTTTTCACTCCTCATTAACAAGAAAAGGGTCAGAGGGCAAATGTGGCATAAAAACAACATTTAAATGAACCATTAGGGCTAAGTGTGAAAGTGCCACAGAACTACAGATTCTAGAAACTAAATTAGAGCATTAATAAACTTAAACCACTGAAGGGAATCTAAGCACTATATGTGCATGTGTATTAGTTTGTTAGACATTACACAAGGCATTTTCCATTAGCAGGTTAAATATGAAAAATCAAAAAATAAAAATAAATTTAAAAAATGCTTAACCTTCAGAAAATGTTGATCAGAGTTCAATTTTTTTTTTCAATGAAGTTTTCAATTTTTTAAGGGGTTTGGGATTTTTGCAAACCTGTTAAGTGCTTAACCTTGAGAAAACGTTGATAAGAGTTCAAATTATTATTATTATTTTTTTTTTTATTTTTTTTTTTTACAAATTTCTGTTACATTTTCTATTCTTTTCTATCCGGTTTTGGGATTTTTGTCAGATTTGGGATTACTGTGACATTTGTACAGTGAAGTTTTCAATTTTTTAAGGGGTTTGGGATTTTTGCAAACCTGTTAAGTGCTTAACCTTGAGAAAACGTTGATAAGAGTTCAAATTATTATTATTATTTTTTTTTTTATTTTTTTTTTTTACAAATTTCTGTTACATTTTCTATTCTTTTCTATCCGGTTTGGGATTTTTGTCAGATTTGGGATTACTGTGACATTTGTAAGTAAACATAGTTAACAAACCCTGATTTGTGTAATTTATGTAATTTTATTGCAAATAAATATTAAATAATCACTGTGAAGTGACCAAATAATCACCAAAATGAAGTTATTTTGATAATAAATAAAATAAAATCAAGCCTACAGTATGCATCAGGTTTGCAAGATTTATATTTAGACTAAATTATTTAAATTATATATATTTTCTTTTTTTTTTTACTACAAGTTAAATATCAGTTCAACAATTTAAAGCTTTTTTTCATGCAAAGTTAATCTTGTTACATAACAGCTTATCTAACATCAAATTGTAACTATAAAAACATGAGATTTGTGCCTCTAATACTCCAAACATAATGGGACAGCAATGTGTACCCTGTTCATAAACGGTGCCATAAATACTGTATATACTGTACATAAAACTCATGTTGATATGTTATCTGTGCTTGCTTGCCGAGATGACACTGTTGCCAAGGTGACTGCTGGATCTAGTGTGCTGAAATGCTCTAGGGCATGTGTTTATCTTTCCAGTCATGTGACAGCAGCAGGAGTCAAGAACCGACAGTAGACCGGTAAGAAACAGACTCACGTCCTCATTGGTGGTTTGGTTGAGGGAGATCAAGTAGGTGTGGAAACCAGTCAATCCCACCACAGACCAGAGGGTGAAAAAACACACCAGAACCTCCAACACAGTGCAATGGGGAGTCAAGGAAACAACATGCTCAAAAATATCTACAATACAGTGTAAACAACGTGTTTGAACTTGGGATATTCCTTTGTTCAGCAATACAAAGGGTTTTATCAAAGAAAACACATGCTTTGTGCCTATTTAAAAGTTAGAAAACTAGTATGCAAACACTGTGTTTATCGTGATAGATCATTTACAGCATAACAGGTTTATGTGGAGCTCATTTTGTTTTCAAATCTTCAGGAAGTGGTCCTATAGCCCAGATGAAAGGATATGTTCCGGGAGTTTCTTTAATGGTATTCACAAATCCGGAGTCTACAGAACCTATAAAACACAAAGATTTTATATATTTACATTATGTATCTATGCTTGCAAGCAAGTAGTAACTCACTGCATCAGATGTCTCAGCATCTCCCTTTCTCTCTCCCATCATTACAAGTTCAGAAGATTTTTACACATCCACCCACATTCTGCCAGATCTGAGAAGTTTGCACTGTTCATTTACAAGCACCTTTTTTAACCACAGTAGCTACGTTTGCATTCAGCTTAATGAAAATCTGAAAGGAATAGTTTAAGGAAATCTGTTGAAGGAATAGTTTACCCAAAAATGAAAATTTACTAACCATCATTTCCACAGGCTGTCAAACTCAAAAATGGGCAAAAGAAGAACTATAAAAAGGATCTGTGTGACTTATATGCTATATACACTTATCATTGCTATGGAAACATTACATTCAGAATCTGTCTCACACATTCAGTATCTGAAGTTTGACTAAATTTATTCAGACGGTCTAAAAATCTGTGCATGTAAACATAAAAATGGAATTATGGAAAAAAATCTCAAATGAATGACAGTCACGATGTGTTTCACTTTAAACTAAGATCACCGGCTCAGAGCAAACTGTCCAGGCATTCACGTGAATTCTGCTTCTCTCTTCCTTGCGGTCTATAGTGCACTTTGTGAAGAGGAAGATCGAAGGAAGGAAAGAGAGCAGACATTTACGAGAGCATACAGTGGCTCTTCCGTTATCCTGAACACTCCCGGACTGACCCACGCCTGAGAGAACCGGATCTTTCAATTAATCCGATTTTGGATGTCAACAGTGACATTTTCTTGCTGCGATACTCACGTAGAACCACATGGACGATGTTGAAGGCGAAGATGTAGATGGTAAGTAGAGACAGCGAGAGTGTGAACAAGTAGAAATATCTGTAATTCCTCTTTCCTACACAGTTTCCGACCCAGGGACAATGATGGTCAAACCGGTCTGAGAGAAAGACACACAGAATCTTAAGACTCTTATGAAGATTGGTGAAAGTCAATTTCTACTTTCTAACAGTGAGTGTGGATCTTCTGGCAGAGACAGGCATATTTTTAACTGCAGGCCGGCCAAACAAATGGCCCTGTGTTCGGGATGACTATGCAAAGAGAGCAAAAGTGAGCCCTCAGTGAACTCTAATATCAGCATATCTCACTAACCTTGCAATATGTGTGAGTAAGTGTGTGTGCTGTCTGACTCATCTCTCAACAATTCACTATTATAATGGAGTATCAAATGGCACATCATGTGCAACTATAACAAAGGTAAGAATGCTTGTGATTTCTTTTATGTAGACGTAGTACAACTCTGTAAAATTACCCCACAAACCACAATAACTGCAGCACATTAATTTTAGTGATACAAAACAAATTATAAGTGTAGTGAATGAGGCAACAAACCTCCAATAAACTAAATAAAAAAAAAATAAAAAAACTCTACAAAATAACTTGTTGCATTGTAAGTTACTTTGGCCTTGTAAGGTTCAATTCATTCGTTGACTTGCTAATACTTAGTAAAAAAAAATAATTTATTTTTAGTTCATGATACCTAATATTAGTAGTACCTAATAAAAATAGTATTAATTATTGTTGAATTAATTAGTGTTTTATATATATATATATATATATATATATATATATTAGTAAATATATTTTAGTATATTGTAAATAAAATGTATTAATGTTTTTAAAATATCCCTCATCATAAATATGGATTTATTTGGTCAAAAAACAGTAATACTGCAATAAAATTATTACAATATAAAATAATGGTTTTCTATTTGAATATATTTTAAAATGTAATTTATTCCTGTGTTGGCAAAGCTGAATTTTCAGCATCATTACTTCAGTCTTCAGTGTCACATGATCCTTCAGAAATCATTCTAATATGCAGATTTGATTCTCAAGAAACATTTCTTATTATTGTCAATGTTTAAAACAGCTGTGCTGCTTAATATTTTTGTGGAAACTGATTTTTCATGAATAGAAAGTTTAAAAGAACAATTTATTCGAAAGAAATGTTTTGTAATGTCTTTAATGTCACATTAGAACAATTTAATGCATCCTTCCTGAATAAAAGTTAATTTCTTAAAAGAAAAAGAAAAAGAAAAAAAAAACAACGGCACACCTCTCCTCAACAAGCCACACAATTTGAGGTACCATTCATGCTTGTAGTGTAAAATGTTAGGGACAGTCACTCACCCACGCAGTTGTCGCAGATGCTGCAATGGGAAGCACGAGGGGGTCTGAAGATCTTGCAGGTGTAGCAGTACTTCAGCTTGACGATCTGGTTGTTAATTTGCACATTCTTGATGCGGGGTGGAGGCCGTTGTCCAGCCATGACGTTCCCATTGGCCGCTTCTACAAGAGATGGGTAGAAACAGTCAACGTGGCAACCAACAGCCATTCAGGTCGATTAAGATCCATATGCATGACACATAGCACAGCCTCTGACGGAGGACTCACTCAAGGCCACTCCAGCTAGTGCCATGACTCAATGACAAAAGACATGAAAAAACACCAATAAATCAGAGCCAGGAGAGTTTGTGTGGATCTGTGAAAAGAGGCCAAAACCTCAAGTACAAAACAGTTATTAATGGTGCTGGTATGACAAGTATAATGATTTTTGCACTAAAGTTGAAGCGGAATGAGATTAATACAAGATTCCAAAAGAAATTAAGCTAGTCATCATCATAAAATAAACTGTGACAGGGTGATCAAGAGCATGACATGAAGCGGAGGGATCTTGTATCATCCTAAAGGAGTTTATTTTGCAATAACAACAGGCAGACCCACATTATCCCCCTTAATAAATCAATAAATTAAATAAACATTAAATACTAATCTACATTATCATGATTTGATTTTGTGAGAAGATGGAGCTAGCACAGCAAAGGTAACTTTGCCAGTGACAACGGTTAATAACCAGTTTAGTGATCATTTTACAAAAATATTTGACCACAGAATGACTCACTTGAACAAAGTAAAAATCATGTAATAAATTCTGGTGTGTACATATACACTTAAAATGTTTACACATTTAAATGATAAATTGCTTTATAAGGAAAATAATTTTCTAATACAACTTTTTTCCATTATTTTTTGTCTCTTTGAATCTGAACGCAGATCCAGAAAAATAAGCATCTTTTCTATTCCCTTTTCTTCATTTGCATTTTTTTTTCTTTTTCTAAATGACTCACTTACATCTGTTTTGATAGCGACAATACTGAAGGCAAAGCACTTCGTTTAAAAGACAAGACTTACATTTCAAAAAGTAATTTCTTCACATTTGACAGCTTTGTACTTCTATACTTTAGTAAAATGGTTGCATTAGCATGCGCTCAGGAGGCAGGACTACACAGCTGCCTTGTCTTAATCCACATTCCTGGGTTGGCTAAAACAGCACATACAAACTTGCATCTGACCCAGCATCAGCCACTTTTAATCAGCCAGACAGACATTCACCTAAAAATAGCATATTAAAGATGCTGAAATAGAGCAGAGGAAATTTGTAGTCAAACAAAACTGCTCTATTTTAAGAGGGTACAGTTGAATCAATACCCAAATTTTGCTTTTGGATGACAGCGGTCTTAAAGGGGTCATATGATGCTGCTAAAAAGAACAGTATTTTGTGTATTTGGTGTAATGAAATATGTTTATGTGGTTTAAGGTTCAAAAAACACATTATTTTCCACATACTGTACATTATTGTTTCTCCTCTATGCCCCGCCTTTCTGAAACGTGTCGATTTTTACAAAGCTCATCGGTCGGAAAAAACGAGGTGTGCTCTGATTGGCCAGCTATCCAGTGTGTTGTGATTGGCCGAATTCCTCAAGCGTGTGACGGAAATGTTACGTCCCTTACCACGAAGCGATATCGTCCTCTTTTGTAAGTCCAAACAAAGTAGTTTCGCTTTCACAACGAAGCACACAGCGTCTTCACGACATGGCAGCAGCAATCCTACAGTGAGAATAAAAGTTACGCCTTCTTTCTTCGCGTGAACATTTGGGCGGCGTTATGCAAATCTTCCCACATCATGACGTAGACATGTGGGGGCATGTTAGAACGAGCCGTTTTAGGTAGGCATGGTTGACTCTTAACTTTTATAAAGAATATCTCTTTGGATTTGAGACTTTAGTCTTTGCAACTTTACAGATCTTCTTTATGCACCAAGAGCTTTGTTGTGGATGTTGGGGAGCCTTGTAGTCAAAAGGTTAAGAACCATTGATTTAGGGGCTGTTCATGCAGGTTTTTGAGAGATATTTCTAAATTTGAACATTAAATTCAATGTATTATTTTTATGTTTCACTTCACACTGCATTATGATGATGATGATATACTGCTGTATACTGTAGTACCAGTCCAGCATATAACAACCCTACTAGAGAGAGTTGTAGAACAATTCTAGATGTGAACATGTTCCACAAAATCAGTGAAAATGGGGGTTAGTGGATATTTAATGACATCAGAGAATACGGTGGTTTATCAGGGGAATTGCCAAGAGAAATGATGTCCTGGTTTGGTGAACATCAGTAATAACAAATGCTGCACCGCCCCTAGGCATGTCTGAGCTTCAGCGGAGGTGCTGAAGTGGAACAACTGTGCTCTCGTTTAAAAGAGAAACCAGGGAGGGGAGTAGAGATGAGGGAGGAAGAACGGAGAGAAGTGAGGGTGGAGAGTGTATGGAGATGAGTTCATCTTTACTGTAGCCCAGATCTTGTAATTAGTACAGCGAACGGTGATGGGCTGGTGACTGAACTAGACAAGATAATATTCCCACAGAGCACATCACTAGAAGCAAAATTAGCAAGATAAGAGCAGCAAGTTAATCTAATTTAATTGCATTTAATTAGTCAGGTGCAGTGATGTTAACCTTTCTGACATTCAAAGTAGAACAAGCTTGCAAAAAAAACTACACATTAATTCCCTACTTTCAGCCTATTTTCAGTTTTGTATTTTCAACCCACTTAAAATAGATATTTTTGCTACAGGGTAAATGTGTATTTTTCCTTTTGCAAAGGAAGTCAATCAGTAGGGCATTTCAGTTGACTTCCGTCACTATAGATGAGGATAGACAAAGGTCTAAGGCAATCTACTAAGGCAATTTCTTTTACTATTTAAGAAATGAATGTTTGAGCAGATTCTTCGTCCAAGAAAAATCCTTGCTATTTAAAAAGAAGAAAAAAAGACAAGACAAATGTCTCGGTGAGCCTTAGAATTTGAATGAGCCTGCCAAACAGCCCTGCAAAAGATACAATTTTCACTTTGAATAGTCATAACACTGGTTTCTGTTCAAGTCAGTTGACATATGGCATTGTGTGGGTGTGTACCAGTCATGTGAAGAATATCTATTTTTTATTTGACTTTTTTGTGCCTTTAATAGATAGTAAAGTGAAGAAAAGCAGAAAAGTACAGAGGCAGAGAGGAAGGAATGGGATGGAAGCAGCTCACATCCTCTAAAATCTCACTTGTGCATATTTAACATAAGCGTGGGATATTTATAAAGTATATGAAGTATATTTATAATGCAATGCCTTTATCACTGCTTAGAATACTA